AGAATCTCAGTTAGAGAACTTAGTTCTCTAGCTTGGGAACCAGAAAACCATGCTACAGCAAAGAAAGTTCTCTACTAGGAAATTTGAAAGAGAGTTTCTATATTTCCAAAATTCTGAACACAATCTATAGAATTTTTGGTTACCCCCAAAGGGATTTTGACTTCTACTGAATGGCACTGCCTCCAAACAGGTGCCTACAAGAGGACAGTCCCCCAGGAACCCAGGGTCTTCCACAGCCAACAGTGATCACTACTGGAAAATTATCACAGGAGACCTTTAAGATCACTCTAGTGGTGGAACACTCACCCAATACACCAGACATCTGTCCACATCTAAATGAGATGTTTTACTTTGAATCTTTTTCTTTTTTCAGTTTTCAGATGATTAAAAATAACACATTTTATGGCAAAAAGAAAAATCAATTGAGGTACTACTGCAGAGTAACTAGCTACACCTCCTATAGATAATAATGAGTGAATCATCTTTCCTACTATCTCAGAATTAGCCTATAATGATCCAGAGCACTCCTCTACCCAGAACACCCCTTTTGACCAGCAATCACCATGTCTACCTTGACAACAGTACCACCAGTATCTTAGGAGCACACCAGTATCGACTTGCCACACAAAGCTATTTCCAGATGAACTTCCAGCAGTCAAATCAATATATAAAGAGTACGCCAACTGGCACCAGTCTTCAAAACAGAGCACTGCAGTAGGAGTCATCATTAGCTCTTTCTAGATACTCTCACTAGGCACCACCCATCTGCACCAGAAGTGCAAAGAGTACTCCTCAAGATAAATGAAAATCTTCAAGCTTTCTGCATCTGGTGGCCTCCCTTCACCCCTGAATTATCATGGGACATCTAACTTGCCCATCACCACTATGCTCAGTCCAGCAAGGCTCTACTCTTCCTCAGAACCCCAGCAAACCAAGATGGGGATCCTGAGTACGTCAAGAGGGACTTACTGCAGGTGGCACTAATGTCAACTCTACTCACTGATCTACCAGAAAAATCACAGGCTAAACAAGCAACTGTGGGAATCCAGTTTTGACCTCTGAAATACATTGAAATACATTAAGGTAAGTTCAAGGCAAAGACACATGAACTATTTTTATACAACTTTAATTATTTTATTTACCTTTTTTATTCTGTTACAGTCCTTACAATTATCTATTTTAATAGCTTCTTAAATCATTGATAAGATCAATCATAACTGACTTAAATATTCCCCTACTGTTATGGAAGTTACTTCTAATTTTTCTCCATTATAGATGGTGCCTCAGTAAACATCTTTATACATAAAGAATTTCTTCTTTAAAATTATTTCCTAGTTACAAAATAAATAAGTCCGTGGGAAGTAATGTACAGCATTGTGACTATGGCTAATAATACTGTATTGGTTATTTGAAAGCTGCTAGGAGCGTAGATCATAAAAGTTCTCACCACACCATCTATGTGAGATGATGGAAGCTTTAACTAATCCTACGGTAATCATTTTGCAATACGTACATATATTAAACCATTATGTTGTGCACCTAAAACTGACATAATGTTATATGTCAATTATGTCTCAATAAAAAATTATTTCTTTAGGATAATCTCAGTAGCATGGACTTCTCAGAGAATATGAAATTTTAACATTTTTTGATGGGAGCTGCTTGAGTCACAGCTCAAGGGTCCATCCAAATTGTAAGCCACTACTGACAATTTTTAATGATCCTTCTACCTCAAGTTTATCCTAAAAAACATTCCTTATACAGTGTGGTTAGAAGTTTAAATTGGTACCATTGTTTTAAAAGGCAATTTGCAATGTTTTTAAAAGTTAAAATGTGCAAAACTCTTTGACCCTAGAATTCTAGTTCAAGGAATTAGTTCTTTGAAATACTGGCATATCTACACAAAGGATAATGAACAGCAGTGTTTGTGGTAGCAAGGGAACAGAAATCAACATAAGTATTCATCAAGAGGAAAATATTTAAATTATGATAAATCAAAATAATACCTATTTCTGTTTTAAAGAAAGTATATACACGTATACACACCTGTGTATATTTGCAGTGTACAGGGAAATGTCAGGAGGATATACTAGTAGTAGTTACAGAGAGGAATTACATTGGGAGAAAGGGGGCAGGAGACTGGTGATGAGGGAAAAACTGTGTCTCACTCTGTAGGTCTGCATGCATCTGGATTATTTACAGTGAGCATATATTCATCTAACACTTTTATAATTAAAATAACTCTTAAAAAATACTTGAAATGAGACAAATTTCCTAATATTGGACTGAAAAAATGATTTCACACCTTCCTCTCTTCCCTTTTGTTTCATTGTCAATCTTTAAAGTAAACTTTACTTACTAAAGTAAACTGCATGCTAGCAATACATTTCATTACTGACTTCATCAATGGCCGCTCTCTTGTAAATGGGTGGACCCAAAATGAAGAACCAGAAGAGAGTTAGAGCTGAGAGAAGAATATAGATAGTTGGAAATAAAAAAAAGTTAAGAGACTAAAGAGTCATATATTTCTAAATAATCTGCATTCTAAACCACAGAGCACAATAAAAATCCATACTTATTATGTATATGCCACCTTTTCACATTGGTTTTAACTTCTACAGTGGAACCAATGATTTGCTACATAAAGAAAACACTGGATATTTATTTAAGCCTGCAGGCCTCAAAGTATAATTGTCTGCAGACTATCTGGATAAGAAGCCCTGTAGCACTTACTGAACTCAAGAGCCAAGGTCTTAGGTCCAACTCCAGATCTGAACTTAGAGGGTGCAAATCTGCAGCTTCAAAAAGTACACCAGATGACTCGTGAATCCCAAAGTTTAAGATATGCTTTTTGAAGCATTCAGACACAGTAAACATCACAGAAGTAAACAGCAACACTGATTCCATAAATTAAAGGCAAAAATTCTTATCTGGCTTTCTGAAAGACAGTAAGACCACAGTTTATTTTCTAAAGATTAAGCATTCTAATTGAAACAAATACAATCTGATTTAATTTAATTTAATTTCCTTTTTTGGTTGGGGGAGCAATTAAGTTTGTTTGTTTCTTTGTTTGTTTAACAGAGGTGCGAGGGATTAAACTCAGGACCTCGTGCACGCTAAGCATGCGCTCCACCACTGAGCTATACCTTCCCCTCCGCCCCTGCAATCTGATTTAGATCTTACACACCATTCAAGCAGAGACTATTTCTATTCTGATCATCATTCTATGCCCAGTACCCAGTGTCTGACACATAGCAGGCACTTGGTAAATATTTGCTGAATTAATATGATTTGGACCAAGAAGCTCCCCACATACGACATTGGATGGACAGGACTCGGCAAGTGGGAGGGTAGAAGATGAGACTGAGAATGAGGTAAGGTGGATTCTGGACAGGGCTCTGCAACTGAGGAGAATGGGATCTTACTTCCGTCACTTAACTTCCAAGTCTTAGATCCCTTTTCTATAAAGCAAAGGAGCAGATTCTGTGAAATTAACTGCCAAGAAATCATTTAAATGCATGCAGTCTGAAATGTTGAAATATAGATTCTAGAGTTAATTTAAACATCCCTTTGATAAATGTCCTTGGGTGCTCTCATTTCAAAGTTAATATTATAAAGACAGAAACGATTTGAAATGTGGGCATTACCTTCACCACTGATTTGTCATTCTGGGATTAAGTTTGAAACCACTGGGAAGAGGACATTCCATTTGAAAGCAAAGCAAGAAAGATAATAAGTAAAAAAGTAAATTGTCAGTCTACAAGTCTTGTCAGTTGTTATCATTCCTAATTCCAAAACCTATTATTTACACAAATTAGTTTTACCTAAATATTCTGCAATGGTACTTAGTACAGTTATTATTTAATTTGGGCACAGTTATCTAAAAAAAAAACCATGAAGATATTTAACAGGGAATGGAGATTTTTACAATAGTTTGTAGAAAGTTCATAACCATTACAGGACAGTCAATCAACCAAATGCATGTTTTAAAGAATCAAAAAGACTTTCTGAGCAGAGACATTAAATACAAATTGTGTTGAATTTAGAAAAAAAATCTACTTACTAATAAACATGACCTTCATTTACAGAGCTGCAGATCAGTCTTAACTGCAGCAAAGGGCCATGGAGCGCAGGAGCCAATGCTAATCTGCATGCTCATCTCCAAAACTCTGGGACACCAGAGCAGGTCAGCAGATGTCTTAATTTGCATGAGAACCTCCCTAGGCTGAAATGGGAAAAACAATGAGGGGTGCCCTTAAGATTCTGGGAGAAATGCTCGTTAACTCCAGACAACAGTCAAAAGTTTCTCCAATCTCTGAGGAAGGAGGCAGTGGCCTGGGAAGGCAGAAAGTCGCCTTAAGATAGGGGAAGTCAAAAGACCTGTCCCCAGGGTTATGTCAGTGTTACTATCCTCAGGGAGAAGTACTTTTAAGTACGAAGGGGGTAGGTCCTTTCAGTTACCCTCTTGCCCAGTCCCTAGAACACTTGCTCTATACCCTCAATGGAGACAACTGCTGAAAGAAAAAGCTGTTTTTTGGGAAACCTTGAAAGAGTTATTTAAAAGGAGGGGTGGAGCTTGTCCCACCTTGAAGAACCCAGTTGCAGTGAGCAGCACCAGCAGATGGCAGGCCAAGGGAGGATGCTTGGAGGGCAGCAGGCTACAAACAACCATAAGCAAAGAACGCAGAAAAACAAAACCCTGGCACCGCCCCCAAGGCTCTTCAAGGGATGAAGCAGATGTGGCAACAGATGAAGCAGCAATAAGTGACAGAGTGTGTGGCTGACAGCCACGGGGCCAAGGAGGGCACGGCTGTAAGGGCCTCCATGGAGGCTCATGAGCCAACTCAGCATCCTTGGGAACTGGAACCAAACTTCCTTGGGATCCCAGGAGCAATAGTGGTAGGGTATCGAAAACCACTACCAATGTCACTCATGCCCCATCCATGCCTAAGGCTGGTGTGGCTGGTAAAACAAGGCTTACGATAAAAATGTCCACTCACCTTCTTCCGAAGCCATGGTGTTTTGGACAATTTCATGAAGGTCAAATGAGGCTTAAAAGTTCTGCTTTCTCCAGCCAAGACACCTCTTTCTTGAAATGTCCTTTTTGCAGCATCTGAAGAAAAGAAAAAGAAGCATAAAAATGCTACTGTAACATATGGCTGTCTTAAATTATAAAAATGGCAATTAAAAAATAACATTATTTTAAAATGAAGATTATAAACTGGCCTGAGATTTTTTTTTTTAAGAGAGGAAAAAACACAATGTGTATGATAACAAATACATATGACAGCTAAATCTGTAGAGATGTCAAACTTTGGGTAAAACACACAAAAGCAACAATTTAAAAAGGAAACATTTAATAAATAAAGTATCTGGCTGATACGATGCTGATTTCACACAATATCCCAGTGGTGGCCATATGTATAAAAAAGGACTAGCTTATCTGTCACCCTTCGTATCTAAAACTTCTGCTTCTTAACAAGATGGAATAACAGGAACTAGATTTACTCTCCCATCTGAAACAAAAAAAGGACAAAAGTATATGAAACAATGGTTTGTGAGACACTGTACATCACGTGAAATGAAGGTCAGTGATCCCTGAGAGATAAGAAACAAACAAGGTGAGACTTCGACTGCCCAGCTTATGTCCTTGGGTGTCCAGGCCCCTATTCGAGGAAGAGAAACCCAGACTGAGCCCAGTCATCTGACCGGATTCCGAAAAACAGAGCCAAGAGTAGAAAGACCAAGGCACCTGGAACTCACGGGACAGAGTGCTAGAGAAGTAAGACCCGCACAGACAGAAGACTCCAGAGATCTGCAAAGGGTGTCCCTAGGGAATTCAGCTGCACACTGACCAGCACACGTGTGTGAGTAAACCACCTGAGGCTGGAAAACACATTCAAATGGATAAGAGAGAATGTGCTCAGCACTCACTGAGGGTCAGAGATTCTGTCTGTGCCCATCAGCCAAGACTGGAAAGCGTCAAGATCCATGGGACAATGGGCAGAATAAACAGAAGGGTCTCGCCTCAGCAGAGAGGAAAGATTAGCTCTGGACTAGTACAGCTTGAGTCCCACCTAACATGTCTTAGACGCAAGACCCAAAAGGAAAAACCTGTTTCTCAGTAACTTGTGTCTCAGAACAAAGCCCAAGAATAATTACAGAAAGACAAAACTATCCAGCATCCAACAAGGTAAACTTTACAATGCCTGGTATCTAATAAAAAATGAACAGGAAAGTATGACCCACAATGAGGAGACAAATGAACGAATCAAAAGGGACCCAGAACTAACACAGATACTAGAATCAGCAGATAAACATCAAAATAGTCCTTATAACTGTATTATTTATGTTCAAAAAGTTAAGCCGAGACGGGCAAGCTACAAGAAAGACCCAAATTAACTTAGAGATGAAAACGGCAATGTCTGAGAAAAATAAGCTGGATAGAATTAAGAGCAGATTAGACACTGCAAAACAAAAAATTAATGAACTTGAAGACATCTAATAAAATCCACCCAAAATAAACACAGAGGGAAAAAAGAAATATGGGAAAAAAAAATCAGTGAGCTGTGGGGCAGCTTAGGCTGCCTAACATACGTGTAAGTGGCATCCCTGAAAAAGAGGTGAGAGAGAAGGAGACAGAGAAAGTAAGAACTAACGGCTGTTAGGGAATGAGAGTTGCCACAACTACAGTGGAAAATAATCTGGACAGAACTATTAAAATTTAAGCTGCACAAACATTTTGAACCAGCAATTCCAATATTAGGAAAATACACAAAAATAAATAAAAGCACCAATACGTAAGATTCTCTACAGAGGCTATGTAGTGTTGTTTGAATTAGCACAAACTGGAAATAACATTCATCAATAAAGAAATGGTTGCTAAATTTAGAACTATTATAATCAAAAGAATAAATCAGAGCTACAATATATTGACCTGAAAAGATGTCCAGGGTATCTATGAAGCAAAAAGGGCAATTTTCATGGTTATTATATCCAGAACATGATTCTATAATTTATTTTAAAAGCGAGAAAGAAAGAAAATAAGCCCCATATATTTATGCTTTTATTAGCATAAAAAATAGCATAGAATACCTTAGGATGGAGGGTGAGACTGAACAGAGGTAAGACAGAATAGTAATGTTCTCCTTATACATCTGCACATTGTTTGAATGATGACATGCTTTTTTGAATAAAAAATTTTAAAATAAGAAGCACAATAACAAACTGACTATACACTAGCCAGATACCATCGCTACGAGTATGCAAGCATCACACTAGAACACACAAATAGGAGGACAGAATTCTTTGCCACAGATGTGAAATATCCACCCCTTTCAGAGACCTCTGGTAAACAACTTCCTATTTGGTCTTTTAACCTCAAAATCAGGTAGGGTTCAACATTAAGTTGATTTTAAAGATGAGAAAACTGAAATGTAAGAAGTTGATACTCAAGGTCACACTCCACGTCAGCATAAAGAAGGAACTGGAATCCAGGTGCCCTAACTTCTACCCTAGTCATGCTTCAAGCCGGCTGAAACCCCTCTTTGATCCGTGGGGTCAAGGAGGGGCACAGAAGCTGCCTCAACAACTCAGTGGGGAGGAGGAAGGCAGGGATTCTGCCACCTCCCACCATGCCCACACACACTGGTTCCAGTCAGAGATGCTCCCCTGTTTTACACATTGAGCTTCTGAGTACCATTTCATTTTTTAAAAGGATTCTAACACTTACCAAAAAAAAAAAGTTTGAAAATTAATGATCAAAAAACTTACACAGGGTCCCTTCAGTAGCAATAATCCCACCCATAATGTCCAAAAAAAAATAGAAACTGGTGAAATATAGGACACAGAATATGTCTTTGAATCTCAAATAAGACCATATTCAATCCAAATATTCAGTGAGAAATTGTCCCTTTTAAGTTCAATTAATTTTTATCAAATGTTAAATATGTCTAAATTTTTCTAACAATTAAAACTATGATCCTAGTGAAAGATTATCTAATGTTTCCAGGAAATGTATCCTTAAAAATTAAAAATATTTTAATGCAATACTAGAGTCATAAGAATGCTTTAGTTTTAACCACCAATTCTGTTGAAATCTGGAGACTACTAATGATGCACATAATTATAACAAGAAATATTTGGATGAAAACAAAACCAAATATATTGCCATCCAGCCTGAGTATTTTTTATAGAGAGTTAAGACATCAGGTTTTTCACATGGGAACTTAACGAAGATGAAAAGTTTTGTTATAATGACTGATACACATAAAAATAATAAAAAATAATATGAATATAAGTCTCCAGGAAGAGTAGTTTCAAAGTGGAAACACCTGCACAAGAGAAAAATTAAATGGATGCACTTTAATTACTGAGGACATAATTATCAGTCCTGTCGGTGACAGCTGGTGTGGGTGGCTACTGTGCTGGCTGGCGTGGAGGATCAAGAGCAGGGAAGAGAACCTGCATTCACAGAAGAAGGGCCTAGGGCAGAGCCTGGGTGACAATCAGCTCAGCATCCATGGTGCCTGGCACACATGCTTGGCATTCACAAGCTGTCCGTGGTACCTGTTGAATATGGACTGAGCATCACCTTTGTGCCAGGTGTTTTAGGTACGTAAACAACCCTAAGAGGGAAATTATTCTCATTCTTAAAAATTAAGAAACTGAGACTCTGAGATATGAATAACGTATCAGAAGATCACTCAGCTAGGTAATGGAGAGGACAGAATTTGAACCCAAATCTAACTGACTACAAAGTTCATGCTGCCTCCTACACGAAGGACCCCAAATTTTCTTTCTCTCTTCTCAAACAAAAAATAAAAGTGGTTATTTTAAAATCTGTATAGCAGACATGAATTTCAGGAAACAAATGCAAGCTTGATCAAGCAAATAGTTATTGAGAGCCTACTATACACCAGGTACTGTGCTGGGTGCTGGGGACACAATAATTCCCTGCCCTTAGGGAGCATCTATATATATATATATATATATGGTGCCACAAATACACATACATGTAACGTCAGATATCAATAAGTTGTACAAAGAAAAAAAAGCAGTAAAGGTATACAAAGTGATGTGGAAGGGGCTGCTACTCAATATCTCAAAGTATTATCCCACCACATTTTCAAAATCTTTCATTATTGTTTTACTTCTGTGATACCTACCAAGTGCTAGTGTGTGCTCAATGTGATGTTCTGATCACAGTTTGTAAATTTGGGGCATGTCCTAAAAACCCTTCACTGCAAGTCACTGCCACCATATGATTTTTCCTGTCTTTTCTATAGTAATGAAAAAAAGTTAAACAATAGACCATTAAAATACCAGGAAAACATGAGTTCTTAGTTGTAAGCAACAGATGACAACTTTGGCTGAGTTAAGCAGGAAAGGAATTCATATAATAACATTGGGAGGACCAGAGTACCAGGTTGGAGGTCTATGAAACCAAGGAGATGTCCAAAGTTACAGCAGAGAATAGGTCCAGATGCCAACACCTCTGCCAGCTGGCATTACTGAAACCATGCACACACACAAAGGGTGAGAATGCTGTCCCCTGCCTTAGACTGGTGGTAGCTACCACCAATGATACAACCCATCTCCAGAACAGATGCCACACAGTCCTTTTTCACTCAAGTTGTCAGCTTCTAACTCAACGTCTGGACCAAAGCAAGATCATGTAGTACCAAAAAAAAAAACTCTGAAAGACTGTATCTGACATGAGAGATAGTGGGGAAGAGGTTAGACAGGCAGCCAGCAGGCCAGCACACGTTTTAAGGAAGACTGTATGCGTAACAATTACAGCATCCCTTGGAGACAGCGAGGGTTCAGTTCCAGAGCACTGCAATGAAGCAAATATCAGAATAAAGCGAGTCACACAAACTTGGGGGGCATATAAAAGCTGTATTTATACTATACTGTAGTCTATTAAGCATGCAATAGCATTACATCTAAAAAACAATGTACTTTATTGCTAAAAAATGCTAACCACCATCTGAGCCTTCAGTGAGTAGTAATTTTTGCTGGTGGAGGGTCTTGCCTCAGTGTTGATCGCTGTTGACTGATTGGGGTTGTAGCTGCTGGAGGTTGTGGTGGCTGTGACAATTTCTTAAAATAAGGTAACAATGAAGTTTGCCACATTGATTGACTCTTCCTTTCACTTGAACACTTCGAGGCCATTGTAGGGTTATTAACTGGCCTAATTTCAATATTGGTGTGTCTCAAGAAACAGGGGGGCCCAAGGAGAGGGAGAGAGATGGGGACACAGCCAGTTAGTGGAGCAGTCAGAACACACACATTTATCAAGTTTGCTATCTTATATGGGCACAGTTCATGGCACCCCAAAATGACCTCAATAGTAACATCAAAGAGCCCTGACCACAGATCACCATAACAATACAATAATAATGAAAAAGTTTGAAATGTTGCAAGAATTACTGAACTGTGACACAGACACTAAGTAAGCAAATGCTATTAGAAAAATGTCACTGATAGACTTGCTCTACACAGGATTACCAGAAAACTTCAAATTGTTTAAAAAAAAAACACCACCACAATATCTATATGAAGCACAATAAAGTGAAGTGTAATTAAACAAAGTCTGCCTGTACTGTCATAATTGACTTATAGACTTTCAGCTTATATAAACTACAAACAGGTGTACCTTTTCTCAACTACCCTCTCATAATCCAGCTTTGAGCCTCTCTGTTTTGGCACATTCTCAACTGTTTTAAATGACCTAAAATCAAAATATTAAGCTGAATCATATAAAACTATCATTTTTACTGCTCAAAGACTGTCAAATATTGGCCATGTCTGGTGGTTTAACATATACCATGATGGATTAACTTACTAAATTCCCAAAATTTGACTAAAGAGACCAGGGCATATTTTCTAAGTCTTCAAGTATTTGAAAAACTATCACGTAGAAGAGCTTCAGATGGCAACTTAGCAACACGTTCACACCAATCCCCAAAATAGAAATGGCATGAAGGTGTAAAAGGTAAAATTCATGTGTTCAGTTATTTACTGGGCAGTTCCCACACGTGCCAGGCACATTACGTGCTAAAGACAGCAAACATGCCCATGTCCCTCCTTTCATGGAGCTGATAGTCTCATGGGACAGATTTCAGCCCAACAAGGAAAAAGACAATGTTTAGAATTATCAAAATACAAGAGCTATAAGGAAAGGAGCTTTATTAACACAAACCAAAATGGTAGGCATTTGTATTGCCCATTACTCTCTACATTCATTTTTACATTTTATTTGATATATCAATTTTACTATCAACTGATTCTAAAGAAACATTCTCTACTGGCTCCAGTGACAAATTTTGACTCAACAGTTCTCATTATTCACTGGGCCTGAACGCTTTGATGATGGATATCTATCCACAATACTGTTTTGAACATTAGTCACAAAGCACATTTAATTTTTATTAACATATTTTTCCAGCACAGTATATTCTCTAGGCACATAGAAATAAGGGAAAACTGACACCTTCTGTTGGAAAAGTATTTCTTAGCATTGATTTCTATATTCCTAATAGTATAATCTACTGCTTAGTCAGAGTACTGGGTAATGGTTATAGAAATATCATTTTTGAGATAAGAAAAGTTATTGCTAGTGTGAAAACCACATGTCATTTTTCATCTGTGTTAACTCATGCTCTGGAAGAGAAGCTTATGAATATTTTAAGAGACTGTTCAATTCCTCCTAGTATTATAGACATTCCTTCAAGCACTAAATAGAAAAGCACATAGCAAATACATTAGCCTTCAAAAGTCAGCTAAGAATGCTCCCTGAATAACATAATTCACCTCATAGCTAAAGGAGCAAACTGTCTTAGTAGCAATTTTTTTTACAGAAGTCTAGTTGATTTACAATTTTGTGTTAGTTTCTGGTGTACAGCAAAAGTGATTCAGTTCGATATATAAATATATAGATATATAGTATAGTACATATACTTTTTCCTAGTCTTTCCTATTATGTTTTATTACAGGATATTAAATATAGTTCCCTGTGCTATACAGTAGGACTTGTTGTTTATCTATTTTATATATAGTAGTTTGAATCTGTTAATCCCAAACTCCTAATTTATCCCCCCTCCATTTCCTCTTTGGTAACCATAAGTTTGTTTCCTATGTGAAGAGCAATTTCTTAACATTATCTTAAACACTAGGAGACTTTGCTATATAAAAGAACACTGAAATAAGTAATAAAGAGACAATACTTTTATAATCCTAATAAATATATTTTTACCTATTTTTTTCCTTTTTTATTTTTGCATTTATTAAATTCCTTCCTTTACTGGAAAGGGAGCAGTGTACCTGGAGCAGAGTGAGCGAGAAGAGAGAACCATGAACAGACCAGAGACGGAGGCAAGAAACCAGAACACAAGGACGCCATGGGCCACAGCAAGAAGTCTGGTTTTTACCTTGCCAAGGTGTTGGGGCGAAAAAGCAAATGATGGAATTGATCTACCACTGGTGTTTGCCAGCCAAGTCAAAGAGGAGAACAAGAAGACGGGACACCTGTAAAGGCCACCAAGAGAGTGCTCTACCATGAAGCCTTAACTGGTTTAAGAAGGAATAAGCCATGTTGGCCACCAAGAGGAGACCAGAGGCCTCCGTGAGGCTCCACAGCATGAGCAGGAATGGGAAGGAAAGGAAACAGCCAGAAGGGTGGGAGCTGTGGTGACAGACAGATGGCTATACCCAATAAAAGGTCTGGGGATAGTTCTGGCAGATGGAGTCAAAGACTTCATGCTTACAAACTGCCGGAGCGGAGGGTAGGAGGTGCCATCAAAGAAGTCTCGGGGTTGTGATGGTAATAGTGATGGCGGATTTTTATCTATTATTATTGTTATAAATTATTAGTAATAGTGATAACAGCTACCATCTACTTAACACTGTGTATGCGCCAAATGCTGTGCTAAAGCACTTCACGTATATGATCTCTTTTAAGAACAGTTACTACCATGTTCGTTTTGCAAATAAGAAAATGAAGTAAGGGCCCCTCCTTCCCGCGGCGCTCGAGGGACCATGGCCGATCCTCGCCTGAGGCAGATCAAGATCAAAACCGGCGCGGTGAAGCGATTGGTCAAAGAAAAAATGATGT